CGTCAGCCACCTTATCTTTGACAAAGATACCAAACACATTTACTAGAAGAAAGATAGCCTCTTTAATAAATAATGCTAGATAAACTGGCTTTTCACATGCCAATGATTAAAATTGAAGCCATATCTTTTGCCATTCATTAAACTAAATTCAAAATGGGTCCAAAATATTAATAATAATATTTAAAACAGAAATATTAAATTTGCTGGAAGATAAAATAGGTAAAAATCTTAAAGACATTGATGTATAGGTAAAGACTATGACTAAAACTTCGCTCACACATGAACTATCACAAAGAATCAACAACTGGGATCTAATCTTATTAAAGAACTTTTGCAAAGCACGAGAAACCACCAACAGGGGGCCGGGGAGATGGCTCAATAGATCAAGCGCTTCCCTGGAAAGTGCAAGGATCTGAGTTCAATGCCTGGTTTCACAAAAAAAACAAAACAAAATAAAACCACCAACAAAATGAAGACAACCAACAATGTGGGAAAAATGTTTCCTAGCTATTCTTCAGACAAAGAATTATTATTGAGAATATATAAAGAACTAAAAAAAAAAAAAAATCAGACTTTCCAAATTTGAAGACCCAATCCAAAAATGGGCATCTGGCATGAATGCACATTTCACAGATGAAGAAATACAAACAGCAAATAAAAAGGAATACAAATTAAAACAACAATGAGATTCTATCTCACCCCAGAAAGAATGGCTATTATCAAGAAATCAACCAATAACAAATTCTAGAGGGACTGTAGGGAAAAAGAAACCCTTCTTCACTGCTGGTGGGAGTGTAGACTGATACAACCACTGTGGAAATTCTTAAAAAAAATTAGGATTGGAGGTCCCACTTGACCCAGTTACCCCCCTTTTCAGTATCTTCCCAGAAGAATTAAAGATATTCTACCACAGCACAACATGCACCAACATTTATAGCAACACAGTTTGTAAGAACTAGATCTTGGAAACAGTCCAAGTGCCCATCAACTGAGGAATGGATAAAAAAGATGTAGACTTTTTATACAATGAAGTACTACTCAGCCATAAAGTAGGATAAACTGGAGACTTTTTTAGGTAAATGGATACAACTCAAGACCATATTCATAAGTGAAATAAACAAGATGCACATATACAAACATCACATTGTTTCCCTAGTGTGAGAAGCTGAAAGAATAAATTAAGTTCCAAAGTGTACAATAGATATTGAGAAATGGGATGAAACAGTTAAAAATGAAAGAAACAGATGAAGGAAAGGAGAAAAGGAAAAAGTTAC